TTTGCATGGTGGGATCTGAATAATTCTAAATATATAAAAGAGTGCCGAATGTATTTAAAGGGGAACTGTCACTTCTCGGGATGCCATTGAGTAAAACTTAAAAAATAAGTTTTAGCCTTTTTATATGAGATGCAAATTACATCACAATGCAGTTCAGTCCAGGCACAGCCATGGCATATATTGCAAATGACCTAGACGAATAGAAACATTGCTTAATTTCTCCTCTTCTGTGTATGCTGACTGCCAGGTGCAAATGGCACAGTTTACGCTACCTGCAAAGATGTTCCCGTTCTGCTGAATGCTGCTGGAGGAAGTCTCACACCAAGTCAGACTTTCTACACTACAAATTCATGTTACATTCATACAGCACAGCCCTTGCCAAACAGTCATACTTTTCTTCTCTTATTTGCTCATGCTCTCACAATCCCAGGTGTCTCTTTGATACTTTTAACTCTCTTCTTTGCCCTGCTGCGGCCTACCCCCCAACTAACCTTACAGCCGATAGTTTTGCATGCTACTTTACTGACAAGATTGAACAGCTAAGGAAACCTTGCCCCTCACTTTCTCAACCTCACCTGGATCATGCCTCTCCAACCCTTCCGACCTTCTCCCAGGCTACAGAACAAGAGGTGGCTGCGCTTATCCTTTCCTCTCACCTCACCACTTGCCCACTTGATCCTGTCCCATCTCACCTTATCAGATCTCTCTCCTCTTGTCTTGTGCCCTCCTTAACACACATCTTCAACTGCTCTCTTTCTTCTGGCATTGTTCCTGCTGTCCTTAAACATGCTACTGTAGTACCCATCTTAAAAAAAAAACATGTCTCGACCCCTCCTCCCCTTCTAACTATCGTCCTATATCCCTTTTTCTCCTTTTTTCCTCAAAGCTTCTTAAAAGACTAGTCTTCACCTGTCTGGCCTGCTTTCTCAACTCCAACTCTCTCCTTGACCCTCTTCAGTCCACTTTACTGAGACTGCCCTTATCAAAGTCACTAACAACATTATCACAGCTAAATACAAAGGTCACTACTCCATACTAATTCTTCTTGACCTCTCAGCTGTTTTTGACACTGTTGATCACGTTCTCCTTCTCCAAACTCTTCAATCACTCGGTCTCTGTGACTCTGTTCTCTCGTGGTTTTCCTCTTATCTCTCCCATTCAGTGTCTCCTTTTCTAATGATACCTCCACCATTTGTCCTGTCTCAGTTGGAGTCCCCCAAGGCTCTGTCCTTGCTCCCCTTCTATTTTCTCTTTGCACTGCCTCTCGTGGCAAACTTATTACCACTTTTGGATTCCAATACCACCTGTACGCTGACTACAACCAGATATATCTCTCCTCCCCGGACCTCTCCCCTGATGTCCTGCAACATGTCACCTCTTGCCTTTCTTCTATCTCTGATTTGATGTCCTCCCGCTTTCTGAAACTGAATCTTTCCAAAACAGAACTTCTTGTCTTTCCTCCTCCTAATATTAATCCTCTTCTCTCACTCTCTCTTCAAATTGGTGGTACCCATATCAGTCCATCCTTACAAGCACGTTGTCTTGGTGTTACTTTTGATTCTGGCCTCACCTTTGAGACTCACATCCGGTCTGTTGCCAAATCATGCCAATTCCACCTCAAAAACATCACCCGCATCCGTGGCTTTCTTACACAAGATGCTACTAAAGAGCTTATCCATGCTCTAGTAATCTCTCGCATGGACTATTGTAACTCTCTCCTAATTGGTCTTCCCAATAGCTGTATTGCCCCGCTACAGGCTGCCGCCAGACTGATTTTCCTCTCTAGTTGGTCCTCTCACAGCTCACCCCTCTGTCAGTCCTTACATTGGATTCCTCTATACTATAGGAGTCAATTCAAAGTGCTAATCCATACCTATAAAGCACTGATTCATCTAAACCCCTCTTATATATCCTCACAGATCCATAGGTATGCCCCTTCTCGGTCTCTCCGCTCTGCCCGTGACCTTCTTCTGTCCGCTGCTCGCACCCGTATGGCCAACTCGTGCTTGCAGAACTCCCTTCTTATGGAATAGCCTGCCTACAGCCATCAGACTCTCCCCTAGTCTTCAATCATTTAAGAAGTGCCTTAAAACCCATTTCTTTAGAAAAGCCTATGGCCTCCCAGACTAACCTCTACCTCACATACCTGTCTCTTGCTCTCTACTAAAGGCCAGTACTCTACTCTCTCCTCCAGATCTGCTTCACTCCCACCTAATTTGACTGCCATTTCCTGTCCTAATGTGTTTTATACCCCTGCCTCCTATAGACTGTAAGCTTGTTTGAGCAGGGCCCTCCTCAACCTATCGTTTCTGTAAGTTTTCTTGTAATTGTCCTATTTATAGTTAAATCCCCCCTCTAATAATATTGTAAAGCGCTACGGAATCTGTTGGCACTATATAAATGGCAATAATAATAATAATAATAATAATAATAATAATACCAATGATTGACAGGGAGTTAAAATGACAGCGTCCAGTTGCATGATAAAGAGGTGTTGATTTCTATATTGAATTTTATTCTTCACACCTCCAAAATGCCTATTTCCATAAATCATCACTTTTATAATATGCCAAGGTAGCAACCTCCTAAAATTTACTTTGATTCCAAGGTGTCATATTGCATATCCTTTATTAAAATTGGCTAACTTGGACTCAGGAAATGCTTGTTGCTTAAAATGACACTTAAGACCATATATGTCTAGTTCCGGGAGCAGGTAGCGCCCACCTGAGCTGTCTCTCCTAAATCAGTCTGTTCTTTCTTTTTCTCTGAACTTATTTGTTATATGTACATGACGTTCATCCCTATGTCTTATCTGTACTCCTTTCACCCTTTCACTCCCTTCCTACTACTGTCCTATGAGTATTTGCACATAAGCACTTACTTTTTAATGTATAAAAACACATACTTTAAAAATAAACGACAGAGGCTTATTTTGATTACCAACTGGTGTCTGCTGTCTAATTCACACTTCTCCATGTGCACTTGAATTAACAATTTGGGCTCCCTTGAATATACCAAAGATTACATCTATATAATTATGAATCAGATAGCCGAGAGGGTGCTCTTCCTGATTGCTTTGTCCTAGAGAAGCATTGCAAGGCCATACACGATTTGCCTTGGCCTCCAAATACCCCAGATCTAAATCCAATTGAGCATCTTTGAGATGTACTGGAACAACAAATCCCATCCATGGAGGTTCCACCTTGCAACTTGGAGGACTTAAAGGATCTGCTGCTAGGTTTTGATCTTTTTGGTGCCAGATACCACAGGACACATTCAAAGGACTTGTGTAGCCCATGCCTCGATGCAGAAGACAGCTGTTTTGGAAGCACGAGGGGGAGCTATACAATATTAGGCAGGTGATTTTAATGTTGTGGCTGATCAGTGTATTATCAGTACCACTGTCAATAACCGTCAGCCTGTCATGTAATCGCAAATAACTCAAAATAACCATTTTGTTTGTTGTTAACCATTTGATGACCTATTAAGCTTGAAGTTGCAAGATTGTTTTTTAATGTTGACGACATGAGTTAATCTTGGTTTTTAACTGATAACATTTACTGACTTCAATGGAAACGTGATCTTTAATTTAGGATTGTAATCACATTGATAACACTCATGGAATACTCTCAAAATTCAAGGAACAATGGGAACAGTTGGTGTAATTGTAAGCCATGCACTAACCTCTTACCTGAGCTGCGGTCCTGCCTTATATCACTGTTAGAACTGATGTTACTCTGTGTAACAAAGTAAACTGCTCACATACTGATTCTTCAGGTGAAGGCAGATAAAGATAGGAGGAGTCAGATATCTGGGATTCCCCTAACAAATATATTAATTTTGTCACAGCTCCTGCTGAACTACAAATCCCATCAGCCACCTGTCCCCCAAGGAAGCAGTAGAATAGATAGTATATCCTGGTGCATCCTTTTTTAATGCAGCTACATATATTGTAGCAAGGAAGTTTCAGAGCTTATAGCAATGTACACTAGTATATTAAAATGTACCCGTTTGAGACAAAATTGGATCGTAAACATCATAGGGCTTAATCACCTAACAGTGACTGGAGGTGTACTTAAAACTAGATAGTTTAATTTAGGTCATACCTCCAAACTGTCCCAAAATTCTCTTTATTTATACCTGTATTTAACAGATTTATTTGTGAGGTGTGAAAATAAAATTAAAAGTCAAAATTCACACCTCTTAAACCCACATCTGCACACCTCCATCTTAGCACACTGTCAATCATTGTTATAAGATCTGTCCTTTGCACCTTACAGTCAGTATAGAGAAAGCATACATATATTGTCATTTCCTAAATATTTCATTTGAATTTAAAAGGAAACTAAGCATTTCATGCAAATAAGGTTGTCACAAGTTATACGTGAATTTTGAAATTTTATTCAATGGTGTACATTCTAAATAAGTGACAGTTCCTCTTTAAAGCAAAACAGGATGTTAAAAAACGTTGAATCTCTGGGTCTTACTAGATTCCCACCGTTTTTATTTCTAAGTAATATGTTACGACTGTATTTAACTATTGTCAAATCTGGTTTGTTCCGTGTATCCCTATAAAAGAAATCTCTGTGTTCACTAGCCTGGTCCTTTGTAAATGTGTTTGCTTCTTTATTTCTCTGTCCAGCGTAAGAAAATGGAAATTACAAAAAATTGCTCAGACACGCAGAAGAGAATATAGTTTCTATTGCAGAAGGTTTCTATTATTAATGGACAGTGTTGCTGCTTGCAAATCTGCTGTTTGCCCAGTCACGGAGCCATAGAGACTGGTGAATCTGAGACTTTGTCACACCCATAGGCAGGTGCTCACTGGTGGAGGGAGGTCAAGTTCACGGTGCTTGATTTTTGTAAACATGACTCTTTGTAGACATGCAGC